GGCCATCTTGGGCCCCTCTTAGGCCGTCTTGGGCCCGTCTTGGCCCGTCTTGGGGCGCTCCTGGTGCCCTCTTGGACCGTCTAGGTGCGATTTGGGGGGCCTCTTGGGCTGTCTTGAACCCTGTGGAAACCGAAAAAGCTGATATGCTAACAATCTAAATTTTCCCAGCGGAATTCCTGGGGGCCTCGTGGACCGTCTTGGAACCAATTTAGGCTGTCTTGGGGCGCTCTCGGGCCGTCCTGGGGCGTTTTGGGGGCGTCTTGGCCCGTCTTGGGCGCTTCTTGGGCCGTCTTTGGCGCCCCGGGGACCCCGAAAGGCCATTAGAGCCCGGGTTCGCGCGCGTCGCCCCTCCCCTGGAACCCCTCCCTTAAAGGCTTCGCCACACCAAATAACGTACATCACTCGTACCTCGCTCTTTCCGTCACCTGCTTGGCATAGGAACGGGAAGCGCGGGTTCTTTCTGTGAGGACGCGAGGTCGCTGGCTATTGTCTTGGAGCTCTAGCAAAAAGCCTTGCGAAAATCAATGAATATTGCATGTCTGGGCCTTCCTGTGAGTCCTTTTGAAACTCTTTTGGGCCGTCTTGGGGCTCTCCTGGGCCGTCCCGGACCCTCTTGGGCCCTCTTGGCGGGCTTGGGCCGTCGTGGGGCTCTCTGGGAGTGCTCTCGGGGACCTCCTGTGGCCTCCTATGGCCCTCTTGGGGCTCTCTTGGGAACCTTGCGGGGCCCCCTCGGACCTGCCTCGGGCAGTCTTGGAGCTCTCTTCGGCCGTCTTGGAGCCGTGTTGGGCCGTCTTGAAACGTTCTTTGGGGCCTCCCAGGCCGTCCTGAAGCGTCTTGGGAGCCTCCTGGGCCGTCTTGGACATCGTGAAGACCAAAGAAGCTTGTACGCTAAAAATGTACGTCTTTCATCGGGAATGGCACGATGTTTGCCCCTTGGGGGTCCCCCTGGGGGCCTCCTGCGGGGTCTTGGGGGCATCTTGGGCAATCTTGACGCCATGTTGGGCCCTCTTTAAGCGCTCATGGGCCGTCTTCGGGGTCTCTTGGACCTTTTCGAAGCCGTCATGGAGGTAGCTTGGGCACGCTTGGGGCCGTCTTGGGCCGTCTTGGGGGCCTCTGAAGCGCTCTTGGGGCTGACTTGGGCCGCCTTGGGCCGAGAACGGCCGAGCTTTGGGTCTTTATTACGCCCGTCTTGCCTACCCCCCCCACCCCCCCACACAGCTGGAAGACAGCTGTGCGGAGTGATTGCGCGCCGCGCCAGCTTGTCTTAACTGTTCATGTGCTTGTCACGAAGCTTCGCAAACAAAAAACAACTAAAACTTAGCCTGGCGAAGGACCCAACCATATGCAGCTGCGAGTACCGCACGGATATGAGACGAAGGAGGGGGCACGCAAACTAGGCCCCTCTTCTCATAGGCACCGCGCCACTGGGGCCTTCGGTGGAGCTCCCTATGGGGCCACGAAACGTGTGAAGGGTGTGCCGAAATGGGTGGTGGGGAGGCATGCGGACCCTGCCACTGGGGCCTTCGGTGGAGCTCCCTATGGGGCCACGAAACGTGTGAGGGGTGTGCCGAAATGGGTGGTGGGGAGGCATGCGAACGCAGCCACTGGGGCCTTCGGTGGAGCTCCCTATGGGGCCACGAAACGTGTGAGGGGTGTGCCGAAATGGGTGGTGGGGAGCCACTGGGGCCTTCGGTGGAGCTCCCTATGGGGCCACGAAACGTGTGAGGGGTGTGCCGAAATGGGTGGTGGGGAGGCATGCGAACGCAGCCACTGGGGCCTTCGGTGGAGCTCCCTATGGGGCCACGAAACGTGTGAGGGGTGTGCCGAAATGGGTGGTGGGGAGGCATGCGAACCAGCCACTGGGGCCTTCGGTGGAGCTCCCTATGGGGCCACGAAACGTGTGAGGGGTGTGCCGAAATGGTGGTGGGGAGGCATGCGAACCCTGCCACTGGGGCCTTCGGTGGAGCTCCCTATGGGGCCACGAAACGTGTGAGGGGTGTGCCGAAATGGGTGGTGGGGAGGCATGCGAACGCAGCCACTGGGGCCTTCGGTGGAGCTCCCTATGGGGCCACGAAACGTGTGAGGGGTGTGCCGAAATGGGTGCCTGCCACTGGGGCCTTCGGTGGAGCCCGCCACGAACGTGTGAGGGGTGTGCCGAAATGGGTGGTGGGGACGCATGCGAACGCAGCCACTGGGTGGAGCTCCCTATGGGGCCACGAAACGTGTGAGGGGTGTGCCGAAATGGGTGGTGGGGAGGCATGCGAACGCAGCCACTGGGGCCTTCGGTGGAGCTCCCTATGGGGCCACGAACGTGTGAGGGGTGTGCGAAATGGGTGGTGGGGAGGCATGCGAACGCAGCCACTGGGGCCTTCGGTGGAGCTCCCTATGGGGCCACGAAACGTGTGAGGGGTGTGCCGAAATGGGTGGTGGGGAGGCATGCGAACGCAGCCACTGGGGCCTTCGGTGGAGCTCCCTATGGGGCCACGAAACGTGTGAGGGGTGTGCCGAAATGGGTGGTGGGGAGGCATGCGAACGCAGCCACTGGGGCCTTCGGTGGAGCTCCCTATGGGGCCACGAAACGTGTGAGGGGTGTGCCGAAATGGGTGGTGGGGAGGCATGCGAACGCAGCCACTGGGGCCTTCGGTGGAGCTCCCTATGGGGCCACGAAACGTGTGAGGGGTGTGCCGAAATGGGTGGTGGGGAGGCATGCGAACGCAGGAGGGAGGAGGGCGAGGAGAAGGAGGAAGAAGGAACGCGGGGACCGTTTCTTCAAAACGAGGACCCAACACCACAGGATGGTTGGGAAAAACTCATCGCGACGCTCCGCGCGCTTTCCGTCTTCCGCCGCCCTCTGTTGATTTATCACGGGGGTGCCTGGCGTGCTCGATCCTCTGGCTTGGTGTTGGTTCTTTTCCAAGGGAGCTCCCCGTGGGGCTTCGGGCCATGCCACCGGCCACCCCGAAGGCCCCGCCGCTGCGCAACCAACGTCTCCAAGATGGCCTCGATGGCCTCCAAGGCGGCCAAGATGGCCCGAGATGGCCTCCAAGACAGCCCAAGATGGTCCAAGAAACCTCCAAGACGGCCCAAGAGAATCCAGGATGCCTCCAAGTTCGCCCAAGACGCCTCCAAGGCGGCCCAGGATGGCTTCAAGAGGCCCACAAGAGGCCTCCCAGGCGGCCCAAGAGGCCTCCAAGAGGTCCTCCAGGGGGGACCGAAGAGGCCAACATCACTGGTGCCGCTCAGGTTTTTGAAGGATTTGAGCATTTGCTTCTTGTCAGCCTTCCAACAACCCAAGACGGCCCAAGAGGCCCCCAAGATCGCCCCAAGATGGCCCCAAAGGCCTCCAAGATGACCTCATGACAACCCAAGACGGTTCCAAGACGGCCCCAAGAGGGCCTCCAACTTCGCCCAAGATGGCCCAAGATGGTTTCCAAAACGGTCAAAGAGGGCCCAACATGTCACCAAGTCCGCCCAAGAAGCCTCCAAGACGGTCCAAGACGGCCCCAGAAGCCCCGAACAAGTCTCCAAGACAGCCCAAGGGGCCTTCAAGAGGTTCCCAGGACGGCCCAAGAGGCCCCCGAGATCGCCCCAAGATGGCCCCAAAGGCCTCCAAGATGATCTCATGACGGCCCAAGAAGCCTCCAAGGCGGCCCCACGAGCGCCTCCAAGTTCGCCCAAGATGGTCCAAGATGTCCTCCAAGACAGCCCAAGAGGGCCCAAGAAACCTCCAAGACCGCCCAAGAGAATCCAGGATGCCTCCAAGTTCGCCCAAGACGCCTCCAAGACGGCCCAGGAGGCCCCCAAGAGGCCTCCCAGGCGGCTCAAGAGGCTCCCAAGAGGTCATCCAGGAGGCACCGAAGAGGCCAAAATCACTGGTGCCACTCAGGAGTTTGAAGGATTTGGGAAGTTGCTTCTTGTCGGCCCTCCAACAACCTAAGACGGCCCAAGAGGCCCCCAAGATCGCCCCAAAGTAGCCCCAGAAGCCTCCAAGATGGCCCCAGGACGGCCCAAGAGGCCTCCAAGACGGCCCCAAGAGGGCCCCAAGAGGGCCCAAGACGGCCCAAGAGGCCTCCAAGACGCACAAGATGGCCCCCAAGACGGCGCTGAAGCGCCAGAAGAGGGCCCCAGGTCGATTCAGAGAGGCATCCACGACGGCTTCCGACGGGGTCAAACGGGCCAGGAAAGCCCGAAGACGGCCAAAGCGGCACCGAACAAGCCCCCAAAGACGTCCAAGAGGCCCAAGAAGGCCCCCAAGAGGCCTCCATGAGGCCCCCAGAAGCTCCCAGAACACCCCAAGAGTGCCCCAAGAGGCTTCCAAGGGGCGTCCTCCTCCTCCTCCTCCTCCTCCTCCCTCTACTCCTCCTCCTCCCCCTCCTCCTCTTCCTCCTCCTCCTTCTCCTCCTCCTTCTCCTCCTCCTCTTCCTCCTCCTCCGAAGTATTCCCTTTCCCTTCTTCTCCTCATGATCCTCTTCCTCACGTGTTCCCCGAAAAGTTTCAACGACAGCTGAGGGACCGCGTGGTCCGATAGCTCTGGCCCAACGTTCGGCCACAGAGGCGCTCCCAGAGATGGCAGGAGGCGGCGGGGACTCGCCGCAGGCGTCTCCGATCTCAGGCAAAGCACTGGACGGCACGGCACGGCACGCGGGCACGGCACGGCACGGCCCTGGCACGCGGGCGGCGACGCTGTCCGCAGCCCAGCGGCGAGGGACGGCGCTGTGCGCGGGCACGGCACGGCACCCCACGCGGGCCCGGCATGGGAAGGCACGCGAGCGGCAACTCCGCCTCGCACTCCAGAAACCAGACGCGGCACGGCGCAGCACGCGCGGCGCGCGGGCACGGCACGGCACGCGGGCGGCACTCTCGCTTCGCACTCCGGAGTGTTGCGAGGCGCGGCACGGCGCTGCACGAGGACACGGCACGGCACGGCACGGCACGGCGCGGGACGCCGGCACTGCACAGCACGGCACGGCACACGCGGGCGGAGCACCCTGCTCGCAATCTTGATCCCAAGGTCGCAACTCTTCTGAGGGCCCAAAGCCCTTGCAGCACTCGCGCGCTGCTCGGGGAATGACGAGGCTGGGAGCCGCCCACAGAGCCTTGGACGCAGATTCGCGCCCCGCCAGGTGCCGCAGTCAGACGCAGCAGGTGCGACCCTCGTGATGTCCCATACGGCAGCCTGCGCCAAACGAGCCAGGACCCCCGCGCGCGGCATTCGCCCGGCGACGACCCACAAGCCTGAGAACCAGCAGCGTGAGAACCAGCAGCACAAAAGCCGCCCTTCAGACGCACAGAGTAGAACAAATCAAGGCGCTCGAGTTTGAAACCGCATGGCGGGCGGCCCTACAGTGCCCCTCCCTGGCCCACTTGGCACCAGCATAAGCAACGCTCGGGGCGCGTAGATACAACTTGAAATGACAAGGAACGGAGAAGAGGACGAGAATCATGAGCAAAGCTGGGCGAGAACCTTCGGGTGGGGCGGCCGAGTCTCTGGATAGACAAGCATCGAAAGCTGATGCAGTCCAAAAAAATCACCCCCGACTGGGGCGTCCATCTCTGATCGAACTCGCCCTCTTGGTGACTAATCGTCACTCGCGCGAGTGAAACGGAGAACGAGGATGAGGGCAGAAGGAAAGAGCGAAGTATCAAAGCTGGGCGAGAAACTTCGAGTGGGGAGGCAAACTCCTCCGAGAAAGAAGTCCAACCAGCCCTTCAGGGGGGGGGGGGGTTTAGAGAATTTCTTTTTCCAACCCCCCTTCTTCCCCTTCGGGGAGGGGTCGATCCCACCCCCTTGCCCCCTCCCCCTGGACCTGGACGGGGTGGGCGACGGGTCGGTAGAGCGTCCAAGATGGCCTCGGCGAGAAGGACAAAATCACAGATGTTACCAAGGTGTTGGCCACATGTTGACCTCCTGGGGGGGGCCTAACTAAGGAGTCCCCTGATTTGATCGATCTCCTCCAAGACGGCCCCCGAGGCTCCAGAGGGTGCCCCAAGACAGCCCCAAGAGGCGCCCAGGAGGCCCTAAGAGGCCCCCAAGAGGCCTCTAGATGTCCTCAAGACGTTCCCAAGAGACCCCCACAAGAGGCCTCAAGAGGCACACAGAGGCACCCAAGACGCCCCGAGAGGCCTCGGCAGGAAGGCGAAAATCATTAAGTGTACTTAGGTGTTGGCCACATTAAGGCCTCCTGGGGGGAAGGCCTATTTTAGTAAGGCCCGTCCTTTGATCAATCTCCTCCAGGAAGGCCCCAAGATTGCCACCGAGGCTCCCAAGGGTCCCCCAAGACGGCCCAAAGAGGTGACCGAAAGGCCCGAGAGGCTACCAAGACGCCTCCAAGATGCCTCCAAGAGGCTCCCAAGAGACCCCCAAGAAACCCCAAGAGGCTCCCCAAAAGCACCAAAGACGCCCCAAAAAGCCCCGGGGACTGCCAAGAAACCTCCAAGACGCCCAAGAGGATTCCAAGAAGGTCTCTGACAACATCCGAAGAAATTTCGAGAGGCATCATGAAGCTTCTGGCTTTTCTGCTCGCCCTCCTCCCTCTCCTCCTCCCTCTCCTCCTCCTCCTCCGACGACGACGACGACGTCGACGACAATGACTCCTCCATCCTCCCCCTCTTGGGGCATGACGTATTACCCAGCCCTTTATTCGACTGCACGCTTCTCCACATCCCTGATCAGGGCAACTCTTCTGGGCATCGTTTCTGAATGGGCTGGTGGGGTTGCGTTCTTGTTCGCGAGCGCAAGCGGGAAAGCCGCGCGCCGTCACAAGGGTCAAGCAAGCCTAAAGGCTGGTGGGGTTACGCGAAACGTCTAGAAGTCTAGAATTTCAAAGGCTGCCGACCAGACAGCATGGTGCTGGGAAACGCTGATGCTGCCACCTGTTCAGACTGCCGCCAAATGTCTCGCCAGTGGCCCTTTCGGCTGGCCTTAGAAGTCAGTGCTGCCCGTGCGCGGTTGCCACAACACATATTCGTTCCAACGAAGGAAGAGCCTCCGATCTGGGAACTGCTGAGAGGCAAGTTCGCCCCTCGCAAGTTGCCACAGACTCAGCAGGTGCGGACCCCGAAGTGCCGCGTGGTCCACGAGGAACGCGGGCGCGCTCACGGCGAGAGGCCCGACGCCTCGGGCAAGGGTGCTCCCGCGACGTGCCCGCGGCTGCACGCGCCGCAGAAGGGCGAGTCTGCCGCGCGCGTCTCACGCGGAGGCCCGAAGCCGCAGGCGAAAGCGCTCCAGCGCTTCGCCGCCAGCAGCATCTCCCCGAGTGGCGAGCCGGGCCCGCGGCGGTTCACCGCGCCGGGCTCCCAGGGCGAGGTCGGTCGCCCCCCGCAAGGCGGCGGAGCAGCGCCGTGTCCTCCGCAGCAGGCTGTCGAGCGGCGAGGTATCGCAGCGGTCCGCCGCGTCGGGCTCGAGGGCCTCGCCATCATCCGCCGCGTCGGGCTCGAGGGCCTTGTCATCATCCGACCAATTGGGCTCGAGGTCCTCGTCATCATCCCACCAACTGGGCTCGAGGTCCTCGTCATCATCCGACTCGCTGAATTCACCCATCATGGACCCGAAGTCTTCGTCTTCACATGCGGTCGTCGATGCGCTGACCAGCCTGACCCAGCGCTTCGATGAGTTCTTATTGCTCAGCGCCCTTAGGCGGTCGAGGCTCTTGGACGTCGACAAGTGACACCGAGGAATCAACGCCATGTCCAAGGAAGCCGGGCGGAGGCAACGGAACATGATGCGATGAAGAATGCAGCGCGCTGTTTCGAAATCTGGCAACACCTGGCTTGACCCAGCGCACCGACCCCTTGTCTCTCTAGGCGAGCGAGATGTTTCCCCCTATATCTCCCCCCGTGGACCCCAAACTGAAAATTTGCGGCCGCTCGAGCGATGTTGCATCGTTTGACGGAAGGTGCCCCATTGTCAAAAGGGCATAATCACCGACAGCCTATTCCCCGCGCCGCGCCCTGCGCGGCCCCTGGCAACTTTCGCGCGCCGCGAATCGCACGCGCCCCGCCGCGGCGCGAAGCGCACGCGGGCGGCCCGCTCCTCCGCGCGCGCGCGCTCCACCTGCGAACACGGCGCGCGACGGCCCCATCCTCCCACCCATTCCCCCAACCCATACCCCGTCCCCCGAACCATGAAAGTGTAACGGTGCTCCGGGGGTGCAGAACGACCTTGGGGTGACCAAACCCCCCGAATGGAACACCTGCGTGAAGAAGGCAAGACCCTGGCGTGGCTCGCCAGTAATGCCGCTCTCCCCACGGGGAAAGCGAACACTGCCGGCGTCCGGCGCCGCCCTCGCCGACCCGAGCACCCCGCCGGGGGTCGGGATACGGCGGGCGTGTTCGCGCGCGCAAAACATGTCGCGCACCTGTCAGACGTTACACCTGGTGATGCGACCGCTGCCAGCGGCCACCAGGGAAGGAAGGCCCCCTCCCCGCACGCGCTGACCTGCGCGGCGTTCTCGCACCTGCGACGCACACGTTCGGCCGACCCGAGGCAGGACCCCTCGCAGCCGGTGCGCATCGCCTCTTGCACGGCGAAGTCCACGCCGGCGCCCATCCCAATTCTCCCCGGTAACCCCACCGGGGCCCAGGGTGTGGTGGGTGGGAAACAAACCAACAGCAACCGCTGTCGCCAACGCGCTTTGCTCGCACGATCCAATTGCGCGCTCTGATGCGCGCAGTCCCTGCGAGCGCGCGCGGGCGTCCCCTTCTGTCATGATTATGGTTCCCTGACCCGAGCCTCCCCGAGCCTAAAGTCAACGCATAATCACCGACAGCCTATTCCCCGCGCCGCGCCCTGCGCGGCCCCTGGCAACTTTCGCGCGCCGCGAATCGCACGCGCCCCGCCGCGGCGCGAAGCGCACGCGGGCGGCCCGCTCCTCCGCGCGCGCGCGCGCGCTCCACCTGCGAACACGGCGCGCGACGGCCCCATCCTCCCACCCATTCCCCCAACCCATACCCCGTCCCCCGACCCCAGAAAGTGTAACGGTGCTCCGGGGGTGCAGAACGACCTTGGGGTGACCAAACCCCCCGAATGGAACACCTGCGTGAAGAAGGCAAGACCCTGGCGTGGCTCGCCAGTAATGCCGCTCTCCCCAACGCTGCTCTGGCTCCGCGTTTCTGCACCCCCAACGCTGTTCTGGGTCCGACGCCGCTCCGCAATCGCGCGTCGATGTACACGGCGCCCCGTGTCTGAGGCATGCCCGTGCCCCGCGGCTGGGCCCGCGCTCACCTCTCCTGCGCGGACTCCTTCTTTACGGCGAATCCACTGAGCCTGGCGCGGCACGCTGCACGCCGCGGCCCACCCCCCGCGAATTGCCCTCGCGGATCGCGCCTTCCGCGCGCCGTAGCACCCAACGCCACGCGTCTAGTAAGCACCCGCGCCACGCGGCCGGGTCCACTCTCACCTCGCCGGTACGAAAACCATTCTCCCGGGCGAAGCTATCCTCGCCGAGCCGCCTGGCACCGCGCGAGTGGACGACTCGGGGGAAGGCCGCCCCCGCGCGCGTACGGCGCGCCGTGAGATCCCGTCCGACCAGTTGCTTTTCGAGTCTACCCACTCGAGCCAGGTGGACATGTCGCAGTGAAACTGGCGCGACACGCTGCACGGCGCGTCCCCCCGCGATTTGCCCTCGCGGCGCGCGCCTTGAAGAAATTCATAAGCTTGACGCTCCGGTCCAGGGTAGCATGGTCGCACCTGCCACTCACGAAGCTGTGGAGAGCGCTCGTGTTGTCAAGCACCCACAGGATGCGCCTCCCTCGGCACCTCCGCGCCTCTTGCGCCAGGACAATGGGGACCATGGCCCCCTCACAGAGGGCGATCGGATTCGCGCCCCTCTCCCGGTCCGCCGGCGAGAAACCCCACTCCGCGAGTATGGCATCGTCGAATACACACCATCCTCCCACACGCTCCCCTGTCAAGCAATCGACCAGGAGGTAGCCGCCTGTGGGCGCGGTCGCCCCGTCAGCCCGCGCGTCGCTTGCGATCACAATCAGCGGACACGAGGGCGGGCTCACGTCGACGCTTCTCTTCGGGGCAAGGTCTATTACAAATTCGAAGTAATCGAAGCACCGCCGAATCGCGTGGGATAACGCCCACGGAGGCGCGTCAGTGTACTGCCTCTGCTTCAGCGGCGCCATCGCGGCGCTGCCGACGCCGTTGAACATCGCGGAGGACGACCACTGCAGAATGCCCCGGAGCTTCGAGGCCTCCGCTGGTGTCAGGCTGTTCCGCGCACGGTGCTCCGCGAGCAGGCCTTTGATTTTGTCAATCATGCTGGCCTTCGGCCAAAAGGAGACCACCCCTCTGCCTTCAAAAACCCGAGACACGTCGTGATCGACTCCCAAGAATGCCCCAGTGGCGGCCATGCGCTGCTGCTTCGCGCTGGCATTCGGGGTACCCAACTCCGAAAACAAGACGTTGAGTAAAGCCTGTCCCGAGCCTTTCGCCAATCCGAGGTCCCCAAGACTGCCATCATCGACATACATTGTGTGCAACAATGCCGCCACGCGCCTGGCAGCGGCTTCCAGAAAGGCAGACCACCGCATGAAATTCATAACACTCGACGACAAGCCGAACAGCATGGCGAATGCAGTCAAGTATCGCCACTCCCCGCTGCGCGGTTCCCGCGCCGCAATGACGTTATATCGCAGCTGCGCGGGATTGACCGGCACGGACCTGTATGCGTCCGGCAGGTCCTCGCCTCCAGTCTCAAGGGTTAAGCCCTCATCGGCAAAGCCTCCCGCCGCAGCTTCCTGCCTGAGGGCGCACGCCAAACACCGGGCCGGACCACGCCCCTTGGACACCGGAGGGGCCCACTAGGCCCACACGAACGGACCCGGGGGAACGGCCCGCGGGAAACCCGCGACACACCGGCCGGCGGGGAGGGGGAAAAGGCCACCTCCGGTGTTTGGCGTACCTCCCGACCGCTGCCTCAAGACTTTGCCATACAATGCAGGCGTGAACGCTGATGGCAAGTGCCACTTCTCAGGGTACACCGTCGCGCCGTTCTGCCCACCGGCTTTAGCATCGTCTATCCGCCGACGCTTGCCGTTCTGCTGCACGTGCACGAACGACGGCACGGCCGCCCAGCGCCCGGCGCCGTACTCGCGGTCCATCGCGGCCAGCGACGCCGGAGGAGCAGCCCAGCCCTTCTCGCATTCCTTCAAGCATGATTCCCAAAGAAACTCAGCCTCAGGATCAACCCGTCGCTTGTCCCTGGAACGTAAAAGCGCGGTGGACTCCGCCAACAAGCGGTCTTCAGAAACAGGTTCCGAACTTTCGCACCGCTCCCAGACACCCGTCTCCTCCAATCGCCCCACGATATTGAAGCCGGTCACAAATCTCTGGGCCAGCTGCCAATCCGGCCAACCCATCACCCAAGTCAGAACACAAATCAGCGCGATGTGGGTGTTCTGCGCCACGGCATGTACTGAGGGGCTTTGCCAGAGCCGAAGGGCGCGGGACACCGGCGCCAGCCTTTGACTAAGCTCCTTCAACGCCCCGGCGCAAGACTCGCGCCACTGCCTCAGCCGATTACCACCGGCCCACGCGAACGCAACCGTGGCAAAGGCAGCATACTTCAAATCAACGGGTGCCATGTACTCATCGTCGAATGGCAATCGCCCCGCGCTCGCGAATTCGATGCATTGAGCGAGGTGTGCCCGCTCCCCCACGCCGAGTTCGATAACCGGCGCCAGCGCTAGCCTGTGGTCGAGCACGCCTGCCTGGCGACCCAACGCGGCGCTCGCGCGCCCCTTGGAATTTCTGCCCAGAGAACATCCCAGAGGTAGTCCTTCGTCCTGCAGCTCCGCCCAGATGGCGAAATCAACGAATGGCGAAGTATTCAACAAGTCTTGCAAGAACGGGATGGGAACGCCCACCAGCCACTCTTCCGGAAAGGACTTCCGAATTTTCACAGCGATGTCCGCCTGGCTCCATCGCGCGCCCACGACGCTGGGGCACGCGACCCCACTGGTGACTGCCCCTTCTGCCGCGGCAGGCGGCGCGGCAGCGGGTGCGTTTCAATCGCCCTTGCGGCCGCGCTTGCCGCCGTCGGCCGCGCCCCCGCTCGCGTTCCTCGTGTCGCAAACTACAACGCCGGGTGTTCCGAACATTCGGCGCTAACCGTCGCCTTTCCCGGACCCAGGGCGCCCCCGGACCCGGGCCGCCCCCTTTAAGCTAACAGGGAAACCAAAAACTGAGACCCGGGCTCCTGGTGCACTTGAGGGCGCAGTGGTTCGACATGCCACACAAGCGCCCCGTCTTGTTGATCACGACGGAACAGACGTGCTTATACCCGCGAGGGCACGGCTCGGAGCACTCCCCGGCGTTGAACTTGCGACACACCTGGGTTCCGTCTTTCAACCGATCGCCCAACTGCGCGCCCTTGCCACCTGTCCGCTGGCTCCGCCCGACGCTCGTCGGCGGCCGCTGCGGCCCGGGAGCTGGCGGTGAGGGCGGGCTCCACATGACCTCGCGAGTCTGCAAGCCCTCGCGGATTATCTTCCCGACGCTCAGCTCGCTGGTGCGGACCCTGTCCGTCCACCAAGCGCGCTCCTCCTCGTCCCGACGCACGACGTTAGGCAGCGCAATCGAGAACGGCATCGCACTGGCGTACTTGACCAAACGGAAATGGTAGGCCATCGCGACATCCAACGGAATCTGCACGAAATCCGTCGTATCCGAAGACGCCTTCTCTGGCGTCCCGGGCGCCGGGTCAATCGGCTTCACCCCAGCGCGCGCGTATGCCACCATGAGAACCTGGTG